AGCAGTAGCAATAGCAATAGCACTTAAGACTTATATACCGCTTTACAGTGCTTTATAGCCCTCTTTAAGCAGTTTACAGAGTCAGCATATTGCACCCAACAATGTGGGTCCTCATTTTACCGACCTCGGAAGGCTGAGTCAATCTTGGATTGAATTGCTGGCAGTCAGCAGAATTAGCCTGCAATACTGCATTGTACTCACTGTGCCACCTCATATTTAGGACCAGTTTGATTTCCAACCTGCCAGTGCAGGAAATCTATGTTTTTATTTATCATTTTGAATACGGAGGTAAAAGAATATTTTGAAATTTTGCTATGCTGAATGTTGCTGTTAGCACCACGTTAATATAATTATTCTTCTGAAATAGGAATGCAGAACCAAGCTGGCTAAGCATTCTATGAGTTCATCCCATCTGGAGGGCATCAGTTTGGGGAAGAGTTGCCAACAGCACTTCACAATTTATTATTTAAATGCCCTTCAGGATATTCAGAAAGCAGAGCCAGGTTTCTCAGGAAAGCACTTTGGGTATATTAGCGTATCTCTCAGAAAAATAAACCTTGAATTCTCCCAACCCTATATTTCTATCCTAGTCTCCAAGTAACTCGTAGTTGTGTGTATTTTTATTCATTTTATTTTAGGTTATTAATCAATTTCAGTATTAATTGGTTTTGAAACAATTTTCCAGTAAGGCTTTTGTAAATCTTTTCAGCTGTTGTATTGTAGGTTTTTCCCCCCAAAAGATCTTCCACCATTTAAAAAGCAGTTAATGAATATTAAGAAGGAATATATTATCCTAAAATGCCTCCAGGAAAGTTTTGTACTTTCTAAAAGCTGATGAATTATGGATTTTGAATAATTAAAGTTTTCTCTCAAAAAGATACCATCATTAAAGAAAAAATGGATTTTAAATAATTAAAGTTACTGTCAAAAAGATATTGCCGTTATAGAAAAATGTGTGGACATTTTTGAAGAAAAAGCTGTCCTCGTCTAGAGCTTTAGAACATATATTGTAAGCCTAAGCAAGAAAGATAGGTTAGCAATTGTTGTTTAACTTAGCAGAAAAACTCATCCAGGCTTAATTTTAATTTATTTAATGATAAGACTTCTATTGTCTTCTTTTCAAACTAAAGAACAGAGACAGAACTGAGACTTCAGATTCAGTGAAGAATAAAATGAAAGTTCAGTAAATGCAATCATAGAACAATATCCGTTTGTGTGGTTTGTTTGGGCTCTGGTTTATCCAGAGAAATTGGGAAGATTTTAGTCATAGGAAATAAGATAACAAATATGAATGATTAAGCATTGAGTCATGGAATAATCTTAATTCTATTAGAGCACCTACTTTCCATGCAAAAAGTGTAGACTCCAATTGCCAACTGCTCTAGAAAAGACTGGAAAAAGTCATCTGAGACTCTGAAAAAAAGCATTGTCTGACAATACACTACAAAATTGATTTCACCTAGCTTCACTGTGCCATGTAATTAAAGTGTTGGCAGCAAATCCCCAGAAATTTAAATGTAAATGATGTGTTGTTGCAAAAATGCATATGCAGTGCATTCAGAAAGTATTCAAGACCCACTTTACTTTTGTCAGTTTTGTTATGCTACAGCCTGATTCTATAGTTGTTGACATTCACTTTTTTTCTCATTAATCTGCATTCTGTACAGCATAGTGACAAAGTGAAAACAAAACTTTAGAAATGTTGTAAATTTATGAAATGCATTGCACCACTTCAGTGTATCCACAAAGTGAAATTCTGTATCTGAATTGAACTAATAAGAGGGAAGGCATGCCCCAGCCTCTTTCTTCTGATGCCAGATTGACAAAGGGTTTATCCACTAGTCAAGTAAACGCCTCCTCCAAAACTTAAAGGTTACAGTATTAGAAGAGAAGTAAATAAATTTAATGACATATCACATGAAACTGGATATAGAATTAAGGGTTGCTTCACTGAGGGGCAAAGGATCTTTCTCTTGTCAGTTATTAATTTGTGTTTATTAAGCCCAATCAAACCTAGAAAAGGGTTTTGGTCAAATCAACACAGCAGCAATAGTCAAAGCAATGTTAAGCATAACCTAAGCCCAAAACAAGAAGTTATACATAAAATTCTCAAACAACTGCCTAAATCACATAAGAAGGTTGATAAAGTATAATCAAACTTGCAATGTTTTGTTACGTTAGTCTGTCATAATAAAAGTAGCTTTAAACTTCAGTGAAGTTGTTTCTTGTTCTGCTGTCCATCCAGGGCTGAAATGGGCTTGTTCCCACTGGGCTGTCCTTTTTGCAAAAGGATGATGGTTAGGATGAGAGAACAGCCTACTCGGGTTGCCTTGTCTGGGCATGCATGTCCAGGAGAAGCACCATCCTGGAAGATGAAAAGCATCTTGATCCTGGCTGGATTGCTTTGGTTGGTGAACTGAAACAGGGCTATGTCAGGGTTATGGCAAGAGCTTCTGTTTGAATGCAAAGGCCATTAACGAAAAGCTTGGGCGAATGGCATTAATCCACTGCAAGCAGGCTAATGAAAGCTGCTCATATTGAGGCAGAGTACAACTGGGTACAACCCCTTAAATTTGCTTGCAATATCCCCAGAAAAATCATATTCCCAGTTTCCGATATTCTGGACTAATAAAAATAGCATGTGATGCTAACTTAATTGGCTGAAATCCTGTAAGTCTTTTAGTTACAAAATAAAAGTGTCCTTACACTGGAATAACTCCTTACGTTACAGTATCATCTTAGAGCTGAGTTTTATCTGGGTACTATCTTTAGCAAAAAAATAAAACAATATAAATCAAGGTTCTGGGTTTACTGCTCTTTTCTAAACAGAATGCATTCTTAAATCAAAGGGTTAAGGCACATTAACCCTACATTAAAGCATGATCTTGGCAGAAGCTGGAACAAGTAATGGGAGATCACTCCATTACATTGTGCTAGGGATTCGAACTGCCGAGCTGCCAACCTTTCTGATTGACATCTTAGCTACTGAGCCACCACATCCCCTCTGTTCAGTGGTGGGATTCAAATGTTTTTGTTACTGGTTCTGTGGGTGTGGCTTGGTGGACGTGGCAGGGGAAGGATACTGTAAAATCTCCAGGCAGAGGCGGTATTTGCTGGTTCTCCAAACTACTCAAAATTTCCACTACAGGTTCTCCAGAATACCACCTCTGCTGAATACCACCTCTGCCTCTGTTGCTATATAATCATTTTTTTAAAAAATTAACAGCTACCCAAGTAGATACCGATTTTGTTATTCTCTACAAGCCACCATCCTTGGCATGCCTTTATATTGAAGGGAAAGAAAAAAAACACTTCAGAGTCCCATACAGTGACTCATGTAACAGCTCATTTGCCAGACCTTATTTCAGCAAGATAATGCACTAATTAATCATGTTGTATTTGGTACAGATTGCAGGTTTCTAACATCTGAGAATGGACTCCCTTGTTAAAGTCAGCAATGATGTAGGAGATTTTTCATAAACCTAAGGATGGTTTTGTACCAGGGAAGGTGCCTTCCCCTGATGCAGGGTGGTGAACAAACCATCTTCCAGAGCACAGCCAAAAAAACTATTTAACCAATGTTCCATAAATAACAACTGATGGATCTCTTATTTCTCCTTCTTCTCTGCCTCAATAATCAAGGTTAGAAAAACCTGGTGGTTAAACATGACATTTCTGATGTATTACATTTTGAAAAAGAAATAAGGTTTTCCTGGCATCATGTCAGCTGCCAGTCAGAGTATACCAAGAAATATTGGCACTAGGGAAACTAGGCTCAAGATAGCAAATTAAGATGACATGAAATATTCAAATATTTCTGTCTCAGAATAATCAGGTACTATTCATCTATTTTAATAACCAGTAGGGTTTTTTTGTTTTTGTACAGTAATCTGGTGTAAAAGTTATGTGTATATTATACAAATGTGACAAATGCATGTTTAAGGATGTAATATTGGCAAACTTTGATCAAACAATATTGCCCAACATCCTACTTCCACAATGGCTGGTATCCCTGTTATACATTCTACTCACCAGCCAGCATCTAATGGCTTATATTGACTCTGTGGACATAGAGACCATACTAGAGCAGTCATCCTAACTGGCATTATTAAATAGTTTTATTAAATAGTTTTGTCTTCATTCTTTTAGCTATCATAAAGAACCTTGTACCTTTTTTGATATGCTGAAATTTCAAGCCTCTGAACCAAACTCTTCACCCAACAAAGTAATTTCGGTAGCTACCTTAATAGATAGAAGTTAAATTCCACATAAATGCAACATGTCCAGGCTGGAAAAGACTGGTGTGTACTTTTGAAGCAAAAATCTTGGGATCAATCCTGTGATTATTTTGACACAATCTTTCTGGCTTCACTTAACTGATGCCTATTTGTAAGGACTTTGAAGATAACATGGCATAGCTATGGCACTCTTAAGAGAGCTTAATTTAATTCTCCTGTCCCAAACTACTGTCATTCCAACAGAAAATAATATCTGTAGCTCATGGTTCAATTGTGGAGTTCTTGGCACATTCTGAGCTTAGCTGTTGGCTTGCAGAATCATGAAAGGGAGATGGGTGGCTATATAAATTTAAGCAAAAAATAAATGTAATAATAAATACATAAATTAGTGCCAGTGAGTGTAGGGTCTGCCGCCTATTTATACATAGTAGCTTGCTAGACTAGAACACATCCCCTCCAGCAGTCAATCTTCAGATAAACAGGCATCAAGAGCAGATAAACAATCATGTAGAAAACAATACTCTAATTAAGGAACTACAAGGAGAAAACCACACCCTCATCATAACTGGTAGAGCAAGCTACTGTATATAAAGAGACAGCAAATCCACTCACTTCACTCCAAGCAAACATCTCCAAGCAAGCAAGCAAGTGCAGAAAGCACCAAGAATTTTACACCATCATTCATAAGGAAATAACTGGCAAATTCAAAACATATAATAAAATTACCATCTTATTTTATAATGAACAATAATATTTCCTTACCACTTTCATCTAGCAAGAAGTCATCTTGGTAACGAAATTTTTCAGGGCCACATGCAATAAATATGTCATCATCACCAAAAAAATCCTGAAGGCACACCACCTGCAATATGAAAATCATATAATTATTCCAAGACATGTTATACACAAAATATTACATTAACATATTTTATTACATAAGACATCCAAACTGTTCTCTGTCACCTTTCCCCTTGTTTACCTTAGAAAAGTCTGAAACTGGAAGTTTCATCTCTTCATGAAGAAAGTGGCAGGATTCCAAGCAATAAAAAAGATGCTTTAAGGCAGATTGATTTTGCAAAAAATATTTTTGGAGCCAAAGGCAAAGTACTAATAATTATCATTCTGTTTCATAAGGAATATATTTTTAAAGTAAAATTAACAAAATGAGAGTTGCTAAGCACCTACCAAGTCAATCATCCACTAACTGGAAGACTGTTTTGTTTTGTTTTAATCAAAGTCTAGTGAGTGTATAGCCCTGTGGACTCTACAGTTGTATTATAGAAGGACTCCCCAATGTCCAATCCATGGACTGGCACTGGTCTGCGACATGCCAGCAACCAGTCCACGCAAACAAGTGAAGCCTCATCTGCAGGATGCAGGCAGCATACAAAACCATGCTTCCTCCAGTCCGCAGAAAAATCTCTTTCCATGGAACCAGACTCTGGTGCCCAAAAGGTTGGGGGCCATTCTATTATAGCATCCCAATGATTGAATAAAGAAAATCCTTGTATCCAGTGTTTCTTTTTATACTTGTGAATGGGATGAGTAGAAGAAGATATGTAAGAGAGAGTGTGTGGGGCTTCTTAGTTTGGAATCCTTTCACACAATTTCACATCTTCTTAAGTACATAAAGATAAGAAAAAGAAATGGGTTTTTGTCAGCCTTGGCAACTTTAACATGTGTGGACTTCGACACCCAGAATTCCCAAGCCGGCATTGTTATGATTATAACATCATTCACTAGCCTCAACTCATGCCAATGAGGAGGAACAGCAAAAGAAGTCAATGTCTCTCTACAAAAAGTGAAAACAGCAAAAAGAAACAAAAGTTGAACATACAGGAAATGAACAGGAAATGAAAACATTGAGAAGATCACATGAGAAAATGAGCTAAACGTAACCAAACGAAATTGAAGAGTGCAAAATTCTTTAGTTGTGAAACAAATGTCAAATGTGCTGGTAAAGGTTGGTGGGTACCTGACTTGATAATACTATTTGGAATATTAGACAAACTGCAAAGGGAATATGAGTCAGCAATCTGAAAGGTGCTTTTTTCTTCAAAAGGCAGCTAGACTGGTTTTTCCTGAGGAAGAAAAAAATGTTTCACTTCTCATTCAAGAAGCTTCGTCAATTCTCATGGTGGGGGTGGGGGTGGAAGGATAGTTCTGATAGGATGGTGGGGTGGTGGTGGAAGGTCATCTGGTCATTAGCACTCTCTGAGACGAGAGTGTTGAGGACACTTGGGGCAGTGGTGGGATTCACATTTTTTTTACTACCGGGTGTGGCTTGGTGGGTACAGCAGGGGAAGGATACTGTAAAATCTCCAGTCAGAGGTGCAGAGGTGGTATTCAGCAGGTTCTGACCAGTTCTGGAGAACCAGTAGTGGAAATTTTGAGTAGTTCAGAGAACCGGCAAATACCGCCTCTGACTGGAAATTTTACAGTATCCTTCCCCTGCCATGCTCACCAAGCCATGCCCACAGAACTGGTAGTAAAAAAATTGAATCCCACCACTGCAGAGGTGGTATTTGCTGGTTCTCCAAACTACTCAAAATTTCTGCTACCGGTTCTCCAGAACTAGTCAGAACCTGCTAAATACCAGCTCTGACTTGGGGTGGGGGAGTATCTGTGCCCTCATGCTCATCTGAATCAGGGTGCAATTGGTTGTGAAATCATGGGCTACATTGTAAACTGGACTTTTACAAAAAGAGACCATTGGTTTGAAAGAGGGATAAAAGAATCCATGTATGTTAGAACTGAACACCCACCCTTAACAGATGGGGAGGAATAAGACACCATCTATTTCTAGTTGTTTCATGATACAGTCAGCCAGATGTTCAGGCTGAATTTGGGATTTTAATCCACCTATCGAATCCTTCCCTAGGACCTGGATTAGGCAGGTGTGGATGTTTGATGGTGTTAAGAGGTATCATCGCAGATTTATTCTGGTTTTTTTGTGGTTGTTGAGATTGCTTGTTAGCCATCTTAACTTTCATCTCAAAGCTGGAATACATACATGCATACTCTGCATACTGTCAATTATGTTTTCAAACCTCTGCACAGGGAGAGGATACAGACAGGAATCATTGGCTGTATTAATATATCTTTGCTCTTTATTTGCTGACACGGTGTTCAATTCAGCCACAATTTTGTTCTAGAAATCATCCTGCAGAAAGACCATGGCATCTGATGGATGTTTTCCATATACAGAATTCATTCTCTGCAGTGTTTGATGCATTCATGTGAAACAGCTTAAATCTAAACAATTAAAATATTTTTTTAAAAAAACTTAAAGCACTTGTAATCATAACAATTCTTCTAAACTTGCACCATATGTCCATATGAAAGAGATCAGTTGTATATTATCTCTCTAAATTACCAAGGCAGCTGACTGACTCATTCTCTCAAATTAACTAGATCACATATTTCCTCCCTATTGTGTTTGACTCAAAAGTCTTTTATTCACACACCCCACTTCATTTAGTCATTACACAAGCGTGTGCTACAAAAAACTATAAAATACATTTGCCACAGATAAATTGTGCTTCCCCTTCTTAATTTATGGTCCAAATTGCAAGACAAGGATTTAGGAAAAAGCCAGGGAATGTATCTGCATTTTTACATGTAAAAGAAACAACTGCAAAAAAAAATGGGAGTGGGAGAGAAGAAATCTCCATGGTGATATTCACATCATTAGGCAGCAAGAGTTTTTCAGTTAAGCAAAAGTCTTCCTTTTTTTAAAGGCTGGACCAACTGAGATTGTTTTTACAAGGGCATCCTGTGTAAATGAGTTAGAGGCTCCATCTTAGCTGAGAAACCATACAGAAACTATAGTAGATGTCAATTAAATCGGATTGGATCCTAGAAATCACACTGACATTGTTGCTTAGTTTATACAATAACCTCAGCTTAAACTGGATTCCTGGCTAAAACAAGTGCAGGAAAAACATGAAACTGCACAAGAGGTTCCATGCTCCATGCAATACTCTACCTGACTCTGTGGCTTCTTCCCCAAACCCCAAAAACTTTAACCTTAGACTGTCTAATATTGACCTCACCCCTTTCCTAAGAGGTCTGTGGGGGGCGTGCATAAGCGCACCAACATGCCTACCATCCCTGTCCTATTGTTTCTTTTTTTTTTATTTTTTTATTTTTACAGACCTCTTAGGAAAGGGGTGAGGTCAATAGTAGACAGTCTAAGGTTAAAGTTTCATGTATTTCATGAAAATCCATTTCATGTATTTATAACTATGTTTATACTTATACTTGTTATCTTGTAAGCGATTGACAAATCAAATAAATAAATAAATAATAAATTAGGAGAATAGAGGTTTGGGAGATGTGGCTTTTCACTTGTGTTCTATGCTGTACTCATTCCTGCTGTAAATAATTTCTCAATTCAATTTAAAAGGTGTGGCAAAATCATATTTCATGTGACTGTATTTTTATTTATTTCATTTGACATAGTAAATCACCACTTTGGTATTTTGGGAAGGTAATAACAAGTACCACTTCATTTTTAAAAAAGGTTTAAAGTTGGCAATTACCTGGAAAAGAATAGGGCATAATCCAGAAAAATATGTTAATTCGTCTTCTGGAAATATGGTTATTTCTACTCCCAATATTTCCTTCTCCATTTATCATTATCATTGATCATGATAAATCACTTAAATCAAGAATTATTGTGCCATAAATACCATTAGTTTATCATTTAAAAAAAACTGTCTCAAGGAAAGAACAATTTCAGATCCAACAGGGAATTGCTTAGGTATTCCTCTAATATAGTGGCATAGTACAGTATAGCGGCATAGTATAGTATAGTGTCATTCCTTCTACAGTACTATAATTTTATATGTGCTGTTATTGACACATTATTGTAAAATCTTGTATAAGCAATAATATTGAATCCTATGTCTAATCCACCTGAAAGAGACTCTTCTCATCTCTGGTTTTCATTAAGTCATCCTACATAAACAATTTAATACTCTCTAGCTATGCCTTTAACACTTAAAATGTAAAATGTCAACTAGGACACCCCAAATGTGAGTAGTGGTGTTATTGACCAGTAGTAGTCTTATTGACCAGGGGAAAACCATAGCTTCTAAACGCAAATCACAGGAGTAGTGTGAGGTTAGGTTGCTGGGTTGGAGGTTAGCAAGCCTGCATTCAAGAGCCAAGTGCTGCTCTGTGTCCAAGGCTCCATATCCTGCCATCCCAAATGAGCATCCCACAGGCAATGGTGATGTCACTGGCTAATCCTTTCAACCCTGAAGCACAGGGGTCTCCAAACTTGGCAACTTTAAGACTTGTGGACTTCAGCTCCCAGAATTCTCTAGCCAGCTAGAGATTTAATCTCCAACTTCTAGATTTAAGCAAGCATTCTTGCTCCCTCTAAAAGTGCTACTGAATTGAATTTGTTAACCTGAAACACAAGGAGAATAATGACATGAGTTTCACAACAACAGGACCTGGTCAACCTTATGTGGGCTCAGAATGTAAATGGTATCAGATGTGACTAGCACTTGGATGGGAGATTTTCAAGGAATTTCTGGTCTGGGTTATTCTAGTCTAGACTAGAAAAAGATTCCAGAAGAAAGCCATGACAAACTCAAATACTTGAGGTTAAGGCTCCCTAGTAAGAAGTTGGGGCCAAAATTCATGGGACTTTTCCCCGTAGTAAAGATCATCAACCCAGTCATAGTGCAACTGAAGTTGCCCCGACTATTAGGGTAGATTAGTACCGGTAGATTGTTGCAAAGTAAAACAAATGGACGTATCCATGAAATCACCAGGAACCAAGTTCAAATTGAAGGATTCTTGATATGAATGAGGTGACTTGTAATGAATTAACATAGTCTGGGCCCA